TTTACAATTGTCCAAAAGATGCTTATATACCTGATTTAACTAATGCAGCTGATGCTGTAATGGGTAAATTAGTAAGTATACAAAATTTTTATAATGTATATGTATATCTTTATAATCTTTATATTTATTTTGCCTTTATTTATTTTTAGGGATATGGTACTTGCTCAGAATGTATTGGGCATTCAAAGCCCTTTATTTATGTTCCAAGACCTCAATTTATAGAAGAGTTAGGTTTGCTTAAATTAATGCAGTTTCAAGGCATAAGTTTAGAAATGTCTAGAGAAAGATTTGAAAATGGAGAATGGAGATCACATATATTAGAAGCCTACAATATGTCAAAAAATACAAAAAAAAGGCATAAACCAAAAATCGAAAAATTAAAACATAATGGAGGAAAAGTTGCAGCTGAAATATTAGAAAAATATTTGGACGAGAAATATAATGATGACAAAAGTAATAGCAATAGCAATAGTGTTTCTGTTTTTGCAAGTTTAAAAGAACTAAGAAACAAGAAACGAAAATCAACTTCATTAACTAGTACCAAGAATACTAATAATGATGATAATAATAAAAATATTATTATTATGTCTGTTTCATGATTTTTTTATAATATAATATAATAGATATATTTTAAATCATAACATAATATACATTAATAGAGTTAATTATATAATTAATAGAATTTGTTTAAATTTAATAGACATTAGTCTTATAATACATAAAAAGAGAATAATTAATAATTACTTTTGAGGGAATTTTTTGTATGCTAGCTAATTTTATTAATCAATCAATCAATTTTCTTAATAGATTAATTGAAATTCTAGCATACAATAATAAAAAAGAGATCATATATATATAATCCATAAAAATCTTGCCATTCAAGTTAAACTGTAAAAAAAATACTCGGAATGAAGTGCTCGATGGATACAAATTAAATAATTCTATAATAATAAATTCATGTAAATTATTATTTTTTGATATATTTGAACAACATAATTTTTGATTACATGAACCTTCATTTATAAACATTCATACAGTCTACATTGTCTATAACGGATTTTCTATAACGGATTTTCTCTATAGCGAATTAAAAGCTTGGTCCCGATTTTTTACTATTTGAAATCTCTTTCTATAACGGATATTATTTATTAAACTTTTTATTACGTATAACGGATTGTATCTGAAAATCACTTCATATGACTTACATATAAATCAACACTGCCTATAACGGATTCACGTGATCTGAAATAAAATGCGATCTCCCCAAATCTAAATTATATAAAAAATTACCATTACCCGTAATCGCAAAATAAAAAAATATTTCTATTCCATATGACTTAATGTAGTACAATTTTCTATACCAGATTCTCTCTATAACGGACAAATTTCCTGGTCCCAATGATCCGATATAGACAGTGTGGACTGTACCCTTCAATCATTTACAACATGTTAGATACCATCCTTAATTGCCACTCATCATCACTCTAGTTAAATAAATAAAAATGAAGGTTGGTTCCTCACAAACATATGGTGCATTATTCTAGATGCTTGTTTTATAGATATTGATAAAATGGAATTTATTAGGTGAGCAACATTTTATTTTATTTCCAAAATATTCATTTATCCAAACCTTTATATATAAAATTTGCTTTTCAGAGGCGAAGGTTATTCACATGCATTAAGCAAAAGAAAAAATTCTGGAAGGAATAGTAAAATACTGGCATGTTCTTTGGCAGAAAATGTGATGGAGTTGGTCGTGAGTTGGGATCAACTAATGAAATTACACTGAGTGATGAAGGAAGTGTTGGTTAGGAGAAAACGGAACTAAACCTTTCAGATGGTGTATTAAAGATGCCAAGATCATGAGGGATATGCTTCTTCAAAAAATTAAAATCAAATGCTTAAATTTTATAAAATCTTGACAAATTGAAATTGTAGGATTCTTGTATTCAGGTAAATACCTTTGCAACAATATGGTTTTCTCGATTTTTTTTTTCATATTTATTCTTCCATTATATTAAAAGCACAATATATACAAGTTTTGGTTATGGATATCCCGTCTGGTTACACGTGTTGTTTTCAAAGATCTATTACTAGCAATATCCCTGCTATGCTTGATGAAGTAGACAGGGTTGGCAAATTGACTGGTCCATTGAGAACTATTGGACTTTGGACTGGTCCATTGCCATTAATAAATTACTAAATATGGCTAGAATGTTACACCAATAGACCATCAATGGACCACAACCCTGAAGTAGACAATTTAATTATCATCATTAATGAAGTTTTGACTGCAAAGGTATTTTTCATATAATTATCATCATAATTAATACAACTTGTATTTATTATCTTCCATTTATCCAGCTTTGAATTATTAAAAGTCTGGAAAATTTATGTAGTACCAAATCAATTAGTGATCTGGCATTCATTGATTGTTTAAGGAAAAGAAAAACGAGCAATGATGATAAAGAAAATGATGACTTTTTTGAGTACATAAACCTCTTCCAAAAAACCAAAACCTCAAACAACGAAGTTAAAATTTAAAGGAATGAATATACTTTAATAATGTAAATGTGATGAAGATTTTCCTTCGGAGTTAATTAATTTCCTTCAAAATAATAAAAATGGATATGCATTGTTAAAAATAGGAAAATAAATAAGAATAATAAGAATAAATTTAATATCTACTTGTGAAATTATAAGGGTCCAAAATTTATATATATGTTATAATCTTAGTATTAATGAATTATGGAAAATTAGATATCCCCATGATACAAATTTCGACTTCTATTGTTATTGGTTGATTGTAATTGGTAATATTAATGTTGATGCACAATGCATCAACTAATCAGAGAAAACCATGGACTGCAATGTTTAATTACATCCATCATTCATAAAACTAATGGTTTCCTTTTCAAGTGATCCACATGAAAAAAATGGGTTGTAACAACAGTTTTTTTGATGGACAACATGGAGAAATCATTATTATTGAAATAAAATTGATGTATACAATTGTGATGTTAAACATTTATTATTTTTATTATTTGAATGTGCGCATTTATAAATTTACGTGTAACAAAAAATTTACCCGTGATAAAATCAAAATATGATCTATTACTATAATTGATGAAATTTTACCAATTATGTAAATGTCCGCTACGATAGATTTAGTTTCGGCATTTTACCTGCATGAAAGCCGAAACTATTGCAGAAATTTAGTAGTTAGGCAAACTTCTATATTGTCATGGCAAGATTTTGTGTAGAATGAGGGATGACTGCATTAGGATCTGTATTATAATTGAAGTTCATTGTTATAGTGGTGGTGGTATATGATTTATTGCTACAGAGTAATGGGATGAATAATCAAAATTATAATGATCAAACTCAAACTTGTCAACAACATCATCAACAGGTAATTTTTTTAAAAAAGTAAATAATTAATCAAATAATTAATATAATATGATTGATTGATTGGTTGGTCATATTTATTTATTAGATTATTGTAAATAAAGAGCCTGTATCAATTGTAAAAGCAGCAGCTATTGGTGTAAAAGCAACGGATGTTGATGAGTTTAACTTATTATCACATTAATTTTTTGTTATAATTATAATATTTATGTAATAATTTTGATCACTTTATTTATTTATTAAAAATAGTTTGTGACCCAATGATTCAGGGTTTTGCACATACACTTACAGGACCACCATCATTACAAATAATACTGTATAAACAACACAACTACAACAACCACAACAACAAATATTACCACCACTGTCACAACAACAACCACAACATCTACAAAAAACCTTACCATCACAACCTGGAAAGAAGGTACAACAATCACAACAAACAGAAATTCCAACAATTAATGTTAATATTACTACTACCAATAATACTTAACATCAAAGACAACCATCATCAGAAAATTTATATACAACAAATAAGAAAATCTAAAAAAAAGAGACCATCAAGAGCCATTAAATGAACAAATATCATCCCTCCATTGAACTTCAGCAAAAGAAACCTGTAAAACAAAACCACCAAGGATACAAAAAAACCTATTGAGTCTCAACAGCCATAAAACAAAAAACACCCAAAGTACAAAAACCTCTTGAATTTCAACAGCCACAAAAGCAAAAACCATAAAACAAAAACTACCAAATTACAAGGATCTCAACCAAAGAAACAACCACAACCAAAGAAACAACCACAAAAACAAAAACGACCACCACAACAAAAGAGACCATAACAACTTCCTTTTCCTCAACCACGAATTACAAATAATAATGTTTTACAACCAGCATCAAATAATAATAGATAAGAAAAGTCCAACTGAAAATTCAGAAAAAATCACAGCCCAACCAAAACTCCAGAAACAAAGAGTATAAAGACAAAACATCAGCTGCAACCAAACATACAAATAGACCAGCAAGATCCAAATCAAGATGATGTATCTGCACAAAATTATGGGATAACCAAGATGATAGTAATTCATTAGCAGTAAACTTTAATAATACTGAATGAAGATGTTGAAAATGTTGAATTATTAGCAGAAATGTAGATGATTATGTTGAAGATGATGACAACAATGATGAAGATGTTGAAAATGTTGAATTATTAGCAGAAATGTAGATGATGATGTTGAAGATGATGACAACAATGATGAAGATGAAGATGAAGATGAAATAAACGAAAGATGATGAAGGATGAAGATAAGGATGAAATAGATGAGATAATGATGATGATGTGGATGATGATGCAGATGACAATGTAGATGATGAAGATGATGAATATGACAATGAATATGACAAAGATGATTTGAATGACAATGAATGTGATGAAGATGATGTAGACAACAATGTAGATTATGAAAATAATGATGATGATGAAAACAATGAAAATGGTGATAATTTAGATGATGTAGATGATTGTAGTGGTGGTGGCAATAATTGTGATGATGCCAATAATTATGATGGTTGTGGTGGTTACAATGATGGTAACAATAATTACAGTGGTTATGATGATGGTGACAATAATGGTGATTGTGACAATTTCAATGGTGCTTTTGGTGGTTATTTCAACAATGAATTTGATGGAAATTTTGATGGTGGTAACTTTAATGGAGGCTTTGACATTGTAAATATGTTGGATTAATTAATAGATTGATCATCATTTTATATTTATTATTAATTTAATTTAAAAATCAATGGGTTCTGGAGGTGATGCTTTTGACATAACTTCATTAAATGATTCTCTTCATGTGGTAATGGATATGGAAATTTTGGTGATGGAGGCGGATTTGATTTTGGTGAAGATTTTTAATCTTTTACCCCATCAAACCACACTTTTTATTATCTTGATTTTTCTTTGACAAATAATATTTTATTATTTTTATTTACTTTATTGTAATTTTTATATTGTTAATATAAAAAAAATAAATTTTGACTAGAAATGAATAGTTTGATTTTAAAAAAAAGTGAATATTAAAACAATACTTGGATTTAAACAACTCTTTGAGCCAAACTAACAATCTTCCCCCATTTTTTATCTCTCAATTCAGCACCAATAACACCAAGTATTCTTGTTCCTAATGGTTCACCACGATTATTTATAAGTACACAGGCATTATCATCAAATCTTATATAACGACCATCAGGTCTTCTTGTTTCCTTTCTTGTCCGAACAATAAGAGCTTTACGTACTTCACCCTTACGAATCATCAATTTTCCTGCTGGAGTGTTTGCAGCAGCAGCACTTGCTGCTGTCTGAGAAGTTACCTGTGGAATGGGACGGGCTCTTTTAATCACCACTGTAATTGGATCTCCTGATTTTTATTCTTTTAACCATTAATAATTTTTTTTTTTTGATAAATAAATAATTTTTCAAATAAAAATTATAATTCATTTTTATAAATATATATACCAACCAATACGACCATATCTTCCACCATGAGCTACTCTAATACATTCTGCAAGAAGAGCACCTGAATTATCTATTACATTTAACACTGTTTTAAGTTGAATCATGTTTTATAAAGTTTTTTTTTTGCAAAGTAGATCATAAAATAATTACTACACCTTTTTTGGTATTTTTGATGATTAAGATTACCAAAAATAGTATACTGTACATTGGCGCAACCAAATTACCAAAAAGGTATATATGGTGTAATGTCCAATCGCCAACACTGAGCAATGGAATTTCAAATTATCACAAATGAGAAAAACGGTCTTCTGACCAAATTTGTAATTAAATTATAACAAAAATCTGAACTACATAGTGTGTAACATAACTAAATAATGTGATTTAAAAATGTCGTATTTACATGATGACATACTTTAGCTTTTTATGTATATAACACGAAGATCATATACTAATACTAAAATGTAAATGTGATAATTGCGAATGTCGATCAAAATCAAACTTCTAACTTGCTGGTTACACTGCCGACGAAAGAAATCAAAAAAAAACTTCTTTTTTATATTTTATACTTTTTTATTTTAATTACTAAATTGTTCATAATGGATAGAGTTAGATATGAGGTTAATATAAATCCTTTATGTTTTTTATTTGTTTGTATAATACAAAAAAGAAAGAAAAGATTTTTGAAGTAATAGCTTTATAATTTTGTAAATTGCAAGATATATTATTAAATACAATCTTCTGGTTATATTTCTGTTTACTGTTATTAGCAAGCTATTAAACTAATTGAAAAATTGACAAAGTCCGAACTACAAGAATGTATCAGAGAAATTAATACATCGTCAGCTCAACAGATCAAGATCAAAACCCAAGGAAATAAAGCTATTTTAATTGAAAATTTATTAAATCATTTAAAAACAACATTTTTATCAAACGATTGTAAAAAAAGAAATCAATTACTCGATTGTATTTTACCAAATTCTGGTCGTCATAATATTAATAATTATAATCATATTAATACTATTATGAATGATAGGTAAATGCTATTATCATAATTGTCAAATAATAATTAAAATCGAAAAATTGCATTAAATATTTATTTATGTTCTTTACAGCTTTAGAAATGGTTTAACAGGTAGTTAGTTATTTATCTTCCGATCAGATAATAATAATAATAATAACAGCAACAATAATAATCATTACTGCCCCAACAGGCCATAACCCAAACAGCAACCTGAAATTTAAAACATCTCCATTTATTATAATTAATGGACAATTAGGACCGACAAGGATTTGCACTGGTGAACGATTTACTTTAAATAATTTGTTCAATCAATATATATATTTATTTATTTATTTACATGTATTTTTGTATATGTAATAGTTGTTCCAGAGAAAAAAAATGTTATTCATTTGAATTTTCGTCTTGATCCAAGTCAAGTCGAAGTATTGAAAACAAGGTAAATTATCATAAAAGAATATTTATCATCATTATTTTACAATTTATTAATTCATCAATTATTACAAAGATCGAATGGAATTTATCAACTGCGATTATTTTGCTGTTCAGATGATGCCAACAGGCAAGAAGCGTTGATTGAATTCCCAAATCTTTGTCTGATTAAAGTCAACAAAACAAATGTTGATGCTGTAATTATCATCACATTAGATCTCATGAAATTAAGTAGGAACATATATCAATTGATTTTTCATTTATTTATTTGTCTTTTTATTTTTTATTTATATTTTTAGAATTTAAGAGGTTTAAAGAATAGACCTGGGACAGTTCATCCTCAAGATATAACGGAGCTCTGCAAAAAAGATTCATCATGTGAAAATAAGATTGAATTTCATTATGAAAATACTTCAAAAGTAAAATCATATTTTTATTTGTTAAAGATAAAATTTTATTTCATTATTGACATTTAATTACCATTATCATCATTTTAGGATTATATACTTATGTTATATTTAGTGAAAAAGGTAACGGTAGAAGAGATTGTTAATAGAATTAAAAATGGAAAGTATATCTCAAAAGAAATTGTTCTAGAGAAAAGTAAGAAATTTAACTTTATATTTAATAAAGTATTTATTACATATGGCATTTATAAATTTTTATCCATTGACTTTAATATTTTTACAGTTAAAAAATCACGTCAAGATTCTGAGGTTGTTGCAACTTCGAGTGTAGTTTCATTGAAGGACACGGTATATTACAATTAATTAATAAATTTTTTTTTTAATTCATAGTTTGTTATTAAATAGCAAATTTTTCATTTTATTAGTTGTCACATAGTAGAATTAATTTACCATGTAGATCAATCCAATGCAATCATCTTCAATGCTTTGACGTTTACTCATATTTTAAGATGAATGAACAGACTCCTACTTGGACATGCCCAATATGTCATAAAATACTTGATTCATGGGAAGAAATTGTAGTTGATGGGTAAGTAAATGATACAAGCACCAATTAATTTTTATCAAGCGAGAGGTTGTTTAATAATAATAATACTTAATATTTTATTTTATATATATGTATATGTGTGTGTGTGTGTGTATATAATAAACAGTTTTTTCAACGATATATTAGCAAATACACCTGTAGAGCAAGAATGTGTTACTATTGAAGCTGATGGAAGTTGGGCAAAATCAAAAAGATCTCATAAAAGTGATACAGAAGATGCTTCACTTACTTCAGTTTCTCCAGCTAAAAAAACGAAATTAAAACAACAACAAAAACAGATTTATACAATTGATTCATCTGATAGTGAAGACAATTCATCTGAAGGTGACTCAGGTTCAAGCCCAGGCTCAGATTCATCTAATTTGTCAAATTCACCCAACGCTGATTCAGATAATTCAGATGAAAATGATTCAGATGATGAGTCAGATGACAATGATTATAAGCATGCTAAAAATAAGAATATTAAAAACAATGTTACAAATAATAGAATATTCAAAAAATCAAATAGTCCAATTTTCATCGATCTTACACAAAGCAGTAGTGACGAAGAAATTGATAACGATACGGGATTTAATAAAACCAAAGTACACAACCACATTAATAATAGCGATAATAAGTGTAAATCCAATAATGATAATTGCAATATTACCAGTAGCAGAAATAACAATAATAATAATAATAATAATAATAATATAAATGTTAATGATCATGTTAATATGAACGGCATTGGAAATATCAATGGCAATATCAATATGAACAGTAATGAAAATGTGGTCAACATGTTTGATCTAGAGTTGTTCAGGAAACACTTAATTTCAAATACTCCTCCAAAAACTAGTCCAGTATTTCCTAAACTATCGAATCCAAATACAACAGCAACAAAATTGTTAACAACAACAGCATCACCATCGCCTAGTATGATGATGACACCAGTCAATACATCTGCTATAACTGTCACCACCGCTGCCACCTCCAGCAATAATTATTATAATAATAATAAGACTACAACAGCAACAGCAACAACTGTTACTCCAATTGAATCTTCTGGCATAATCATTCCACATAATAATCAAGAGCCAATCAGTGACCTACAGCAACAGCATCAACAACAACAACATTTTCAAATTAATTATAACTCGATATTTAACCATGATACAAGTTTGCCAACATTTGTTCATAATGATCCCAACAATTTTCCTCACCATTTATTCGAAAATGATGAAAATATATACAATTTTGATTCTCGATTTTTTCAATTCAATTAATAATTTTTTAATATACATATCATTGCAATTGCAGATAAACAATATTAATATATGTGTGTGTGTGTGCTTAGTATTAGGGAGGGAGCTAAAAAAATTTTATTTGTGAAATACGTGTTTGGTGGGGTGACACGAGTCTTAAAAAAAATAAAAAAAAAAAAAATTATTTCAAATAACAAAAAACTCGCTCATACATAATATAGTAAAAATTATTTTGATTCCACTTTAAAAATAATAAAGAAAATAAACATAATGCCTAAAGAAATTAAAGAAAAACATAGTAAACTAAAACTCGCTATTAACCGAGAAATCACCCCTGGCTTTGTTGATACTAGTCCAAGAGGTCAAGAAATCAATGTTTCAAAGTTGCTATTGGAGCAAATCGAGAAAATAAAAAAGAAGTCAAAGGCGCTTACAATAGGCTCGAAAGATTTCAATCCAGTCGCTTTCTTGGATAAATTTCATGAAAAAAAAAATGCTGAAGTGGAGAGCTCACAAGCACCAGAATATAAAGTCGAGTATGATCGTGTAAAGAATGTCGTATCGAGCAGACTTGAATACTTTAATCGTGTGTTTACGTGTCAAACTGAAAAAAAGAATAAATTAAAATTGGAAAGAAGAAATGCCAAAAGAAATGTTGCTTTGCAATGTATAGAAACTATTAAAAAAAGTCATCTTTTTGATACTCTGATTACCGTAATTCAAATAGAAGATAATGTGTTTTCCACTGAAATGGAAGAAGTAAAATATTCTTCACAGGCTTTTCTTAACGCGTTTCATCAAAAAATCATTATAGGAGATCAGCCTAAATACACAATAGTCACACTACCACAACCTAAGCTCAATAAAGTAGAAAATAAAATGGATGTTGATGAGCCAAATCAACAAATTGAACTTGACGGGCAAAATGATGGACAAAATGAACAAATTAAAAAAACAAAGAACAAACCAGCGAAGTGCTTCATCTGCATACTTAAATATCTCGGAAAAAAATTCAAATCTGGTGCATATAATAATGTTGAAGGAGCAGAGAGAGAGTCGGCTGATAAATGTGTCGCCTATCTTACACGTATCAGGCCATATGATGTTCGGCTAGTCAAAGAGCTAGAATTCAAACGAAATCCTAACTTGGATAAATTATTTGACTCGCATAAAATCAGAGTTGACAATTTCAATATTCATGATAAAGAATGCACAGTACCTCAATCCAAACTTTGGATTGATAGAATAATCGCTGAGAATCCAGACAAACTACCACATGTAATACTTCAAGAATTCTGTCTAAAATTCAAAATAGGACAAGTACATTTCATTCCAAACGAAGCAGGAGAAGGTAGATTCAATTATACACTAAAAATTGATGGTAGAGAACCAGTTAGAACTTCCGTGTGGTTTACCGATGAGACGGATGCTAAAGCTTATGTTGCTAAAAAGGAACTAACTGCGCTTTTAAACTTGTATGAAATTAACGAACAAGAGGAACTTTTAAGAGTCGCTAATGATTATAAATTGAAGATTGGTTTAATCAGTAAAGAATAAAATTTATAAAATTTGATAATGTTTTTTTTTTTTTAAATCAAATAACATTTATTCAAAAATTGCTTAGGATAACAATTTTATATATGTTTACCGATAAGTTTTATAGTTTATGGCTCTAACTTCAAAACTTGCTTTTATTTTGTTGAGACAATTACTGCGTGTTCCACAAATTTACATGTATTTATGTATTTATCAATTTTTGTAACATTTTATCAATGAAGTGGTGATTGAATTTATGTGCTGGGGTAGTAGGAATTAGTGTTTACCAACTCTAAAAATTAATTCTTATTTGCCACATATGTTCAAAAGAACCTTTCTGTAAATAAAATTCCAAGTCATGTGCCAAGAATTGTAACTCGTTTATTATTGGTCCAAATTATGCATAATTGCAATAAGAAAAGAATTAAAAGATGCAAGAAAGGGATTGGCAGATGCAGAAAAGGAATTGAAAGAAAAAGAAAGAAATTGGACAAGTTGGAGATAAGAGGTAAAGATTTGTTTATTTTTTCTAACCATACATTTATAATAAAGAACAAGGTAAGAATTATTTGTTCTTTGGTTAAAGAAACACCAAGGATAGAATGCAATGAGCATACAAATTTTTTCTTTTATTTGTCCATATATTTATTTATCCATCTACACATTTGATTAATATTTGCCATATTATTTTGCAGAACTGATTAATTTGTTTTTTTGAAAGTCTATTTACATATGAAGTGGAGCTGATTAATAGAGACAATTTTGAGTTTTTGCTATCTCTGGATCAACCAATCAACTTGCTGATTTATTTCTGGAGGAGTTTTGGCAAGTAACCATAACTGTGACACAGATTGGACCATCTCCTCAGTACCTAATAGGAGTATGTAAGATTCACAAGGCTGTGAATGGTATATGGGTTATAAATTAACTATCATTCACTCCAGTGTCATCGAAATATACACTTGGCTACCTTTAGACGAAAAGAACAGGTATGTTGGTCTTTTATTTGCTCATTTGCCTTGCTTATCCAACATCATTACATTGTGTTTGTGTTACTAGAATGATAATTTCTATGAAGTAACTCTGGACATTCCATTTTGGAAGTGGTTTATGATACTACAAAACCTGATGAGCTTAGGCTTGAGATTACACCTGTGGAAATTGCAAACTCAGTGATAATTTATGTATTATTATGTTTTGTATTGTACATTGTGCTTTTAAAGTCCATGAATGTGGCTAAAATATGATTGATTTGTGTTGACCTAACATTGATTCTGGCGAGTTTGCTCAGGAATATGATGAGGGCATTCAGAAAGACCAATTGAAATTGTATGATCTTATTCTTGCACACCAGCTACAGATATTTACATAAAAATGATGGATGAAATGGATGATGACTTGTGGCAGTCTAAGGGAAATGTTGTTTACTTTTACATAAATTTTGAAGGATTGTTATAAAAATAATCTATTTTAGATCATGATTTTCTTTCTAAACCTATTTATTAAACAAAAACTAGTTTTCTTTTATAGATGTAGTGGTTGCATATAATTAAATAAACTGCATTTGGTTAAAGCTGATCAGGTTAAATATTTATACTCATTTTGTCTGGTTTTATGCCTTCTCAAAGAACAATTCTGTTATTAATAATTTATACTTGTCATATATTCAAGTAATTAATTATGAAAACTACTCTTAACACCCAGCCAGTTTTATAACATGTTCTTTAACACAGTAAAAGAATTATTAAATAATTTAAAAAAACTACAAAGTGGACAAACATAAAATTATATATAGGTATATGAAAAGTAATAATGAAAATAATAAATTTGGACATCTTCAACCCATACTGAGATTATGGCTTTTTTTACTTGAATTATTTAGTTTGTCCTGAGAATGCAAAATAAATATATATACTGATGGTCAAACAACAATTAATACATATACACATCTTACACATAATGAAATGAAAAATTAGAAACAATTCTTTGTGACATGTCATCCTTTCAACAATCAACTGTTTTAATTTAAAGGTTAAATTAATCAAGTAAAAGTACACCCAGGAAATAATGGAATGAAAAGGCAGATAAATTATCTAAAATAGGAACAAGGAATTTTCCAATAATCATTAAACTTGATAATCAAATTTACCAAAGACAACAACTATCAAAAATTTAAAGAGAAACAAAAATTTTAATAATGAACAATATGAATCTGTTGACTGACAGAATACTTTTGTTGCATTAAGAAAAAATGTTCCTTTCTAACTTCCTTCAAATTAAACAATCAAAAGGCATTTAACCAAATGAACTCCTAATCATGGAAAATCTAAAAAAAAGACGACCAGATTTATATTCTTCAAGGCATATGTGGGAATATTATCACATTTTTGGAATTGTGAAATGCAGGCAGGATACCATTAAAATCATTAAAATCATTAGTATCACAATTATTAATTATTTTAAAAAATTTTTTTTTAATTAAATATGTTTCTGATACAATTAATAATGGTGGTGTTCCATCCAATATTGTATAAAATATTTTAAGCCAATCAAGATAATAATGAACACATATATAGGAATTCTCAAAGATAAAAAATTCATCTGAAAAAATATAACTTGATGATTTACTCAGTGTCTATATAACTATAGAATTAATACAGCAATTATATAAAATTACAAGATCCAACTCCAAAGCCAGAAAACTAGCAATATCTTTAACAAATCTTGTTAACAAAGAAAGAATACCAAATAACTAGCATAATTATTACCATTCCATTAAAATACATTAATAAGTTTGTAAATGATTCAACAAAGTTATTAATTTTTTCTTGTATTAACAATCATTTCTGGAATGGATTTCTTTTTTTAATGTTAAAAATTGATATTGAGAAATAACAAATGTCCTGACAAGTAAAAATGAAAAATATAGCAGAATTGGAAAATAAACCCTTGGTGTTTTGTTGAATTTTTTTAAGGGTTCCCATCCAAGTACAAGTGGACAAGACTCTACTTGGTTCTCTTCCCAATTCCGTGGAATTTCAAGTTGTAAGTTCCTTAAAAATCATTCCAAAAATAAAATGAATAATATTAAATCTGTTATATTGAGCTTAGATATCAGATTTAATAAAATTTTCCTGCAAGCACCATAGAATTTTTTCACTGGTAAAGAATTTCGAACATGTTTGAGAGGGTAAGAGGCTTTAACGGTATCTTTGAAAACAAGGTGCAATTTCAATAAACTTCAAAACTCACTCTCTGAAATTCAATTGCATCATATGTCCTCGGAGCATTTAGGTCAGATCAATTATTAGCCTTTGTTTGCAAGGAATGTGAGAATGGCTATAATGCTCCAAGTATTGGAACCCTAAAGTAATTTTCAATATTTGTCTGCGTATTTCCAATAATCGAATATCACATAAATTGTCAAAAAGCAGTTTTTCCATATTCAATAGTTATGTTGCTTTTACTTTGGCATTTCTTAAATTCAATATATAATTAATATAATTATTATTAATAGTCAATTTTTGCCAATCACCTTGCTTAAAAAACATGTTTTTTTAATGGCACAACACGACATTTAATTATATGTTGTTGAAAATTTGACTTGCTGAATATTCACCGAACCTTTTTTTAATTCTTCACTAAGCTATGAATTTTCTCAATAGAAGTCGCAGGGTTATTTATAAAATTGCTTTTGTCACTTCTCACATGATTCAGAAAGTGGGGTTAATGTATGTAGACATTGAAAAAATAACATTTAATATTTACTTTGTAAATAAAATTAAAAATTTTCAAATAGTTATTTAAACCAAGCAAAAGATTTTTTATTCAAGTCGATTCAAAGGTTTTGACTCAAGTCGAGCAAGGTTTTTTTACTTTTGGCAATGAATTTGATGTAATAGTTTTACACGTCAAATTGGGCAAAATTAACAACTCTAGCTAGGCCAAATAATGATTTTTTTTTTCTTTATAAAAAACCATTTGCAACTCCAACAATTAATTAGTATTAGTAATGTTTTTTGAGGAAAAATATTTATCCTGGTTAGTGGAAATAACTTGTCTTTATCCTGATTTTAATGAATATATTTGGACATATTAAATACAACTTGCTTGCCGCTGAGTTTCTCCACACATATAATATAATAATAAAGGAACAATGGGCAAAATCATTCATGTATGAGAATATGATTATATCAAACAATTTATAAAAAAAAAAAATTTAATTAAGTTGATTTTGAATATTTAAAAATTTTAATACACTATGACCGAAACAAATGCAGGCTCTTGTTCTATTCGTAACTGTAAAACAATACCAAACAATATTGTGGAATTACACTCAATACACTAAAGAAAGAAAAAGAAAAAGGTAATTTTAAACCAATATATAATTATTGGGTTATCTTCATCATATTGACGTTATACGTTATCGAGCATGGACGCAATGATAGAATAGATGAATCGGCAATTATAATTAGAAAAACTGTTATACCGTATTAGACCGTTCTGGACTCTCAAACTTGTAAATTAAGACTTTCAGTAAGAACCAGTTAAATCAAGGTTTGCTAAATAAAGAATCGCTTTGTTATAATTGCTTAAAGTGAAATAAAAATAATGAATATATACAAGGTAATATTGAAAATTCTGTATATCAAAAAAAAACAAAGAAAATAAGAATTTTTAAGCAATAGTTGCGAAAGCCCAAATTATTGTTAGAATTTTTTGAGGGTATATGCAATGCATTAACTCTAGAAAGACAGTGAAAGAAAGAAAAAAAGAAAGCAGATAATAACTAAAAAAATAAAGTTACATATGCATTAGATGGTGGCAAATTGATAAAATCTTGTTTTATTTGTTGATTTACAATTAAGCACGAACACTTTCAAATCAAATGTGTTTTTCTTATTCATCTACCATTATTACTTTACAGGTTTTTACTTTAACTTTCATAACGCTTATTTCCCAAATTGTTCATACAATTCGCCGATTTTTAATAATCAACCCCGCTTTGTTTGTTACAAAAATTGTAGATAATTAACCGTTTTGTTTATAACTTTATTTGATCTGTGACATTATGAACTTTTAAACCTCCAGTATCGTCCACATATAGCAATGAGAAAATTCCATTATGTTCCAACTATTTTGGTCATCATTAATTGATAATTTACTTAATTTGACAGTTTAATAAATTCCTTTTTCTACTTCACTAAAAATCAAGTAAATGCCGCCGCCACATTAGAATAATATTAATATGACAGAAAATTTGATATTTTTTCACAATGCCAGTTTACTGTTATTCTTATAATCATACAGCTTCAAAAATTTTCATCATATTTATTTATTTATTTATTTATTTTAAATCTTTCATTACGCTTGACATTGCACTACTACTATCACCAAAGAATTTAGTGTTAACGCCGGTAAAAATTCGTTCTTACAACAAACGAAATTTGTTTTTTTTTAAAAAAAATTATAATTACAAACACCATCCATCGTTACCATTTATTGAATAAAAGCTTGTAAACAAATTTATCTTCATATTTGAATAATGAAGCATTAATTTCGGAACATAAGCTATTTATAATTATAAATTTTTTTTACATTCGAGAAAGGTCGTTGTACCAATTCAAATTTAATTTAGCTAATTAGCAAAGCGTAAATTTTGTTTGCGACAATCTATATTGAAATAACATTTGTAATTTAATTAAGTGTACAAATGGAGGATATTTTGGTAGATATTTTTAAATATACAAGATGCCCAGCATCTTTTATGAGAGTAAATAAGTCATGGTTAAATACCGCTAAAAATCCAGTGTCAAGATGCCATTGGCTAATTAACCATTATGGAAAAGCACATTCATTGTTTTTCGCAGTGTATTTTGGACCAAGTTTCATTAGTATTGACTTGGTAAATTGTGCATTGAGAAACGGTGTGATATTGTCACGATATTTTCTTCAAGTACTCATGAAATGCTATGTGAGGTATGATGGATCTAATCATAGTAACTTTGAAAAATCATGGGGTTCAGATTTACCACTAGATGTCTATGAAAAATTATTAGCAGAAGGAAATCGTAGATGGAATGGAGGTTTTTGTTTAAATGGTAATGATCTTGAGTTGTTTCATTATTTGAATAGGGGTAATGCAGAGAATGTATTAAATGACATTAGAGGTTTGATTTTTGACAAAAAATTCATCCCAAATCCAAAAAACCAAAAATTTCATATAAAAATTTTATCGATTTCAAAAAAAAACAATCTCAACCACCACTATTACCACCACCATCTCTATTTTATGAATAACCTGATAATATGACTGATGCATTTGAAAATGCAGAAACATTGAGAATGGTGTCTAAGGCAATTATTGCTCACCCAGAATTAGTTGATATGTGGAAAGAAATTGGTTATGAGTCAATTTGTTATGATTACAGTGATTTGGTTTTCCAAATCTTGTATACAGAACATCCTATGTTAGAAACAATTCTTGCATAATTACAACCTTTCATCAATCTAGGATTCAAGTTAACAAAACCAGCAATGGTTGATATAATTTGTTCCTTTAAAGACAGATTGAATGAAATTGGTGGAATAATTATAGAATCTTTTCAAAAAATTAAAAATAAAAATAAATCCATCATTTTAGAGGAATGCTTGTTTGAAATAATTGGAGGTGGGGGGATTTGGAGCAAACCACCTGTGTTCTAGATTTTTTATTTCAACAAATTGAAGGAAGTCCAGAAAATATTTTTCTAAAAATTTTAAAACATTATGGAATTGGAGAAACCAGTGTTAGAAATGTCAATTCTAATGATGAAAACTTGGAAGACTTGAAACTTTTTTCGTTTGATTTGTGTGTTTATCAATGGATATTGAAAAGTTTCAAGCCTTATCCAATCATTATATCAAAATGTTTTGTTGAAATTTTATTAACTAAAAGTTATTTTGATTCAAATTCTTCAATTTTAACAAGTAATCCTTCCAATTTCTTTACTTTAGTTTATATTCCATTTATAAAAATATATTGTAATTATTACAATTATTACCATACTAATGTCCCTATCATTAATCAATTCATTTTTCAAGAGATTTTTCAAAGGATTTTTGTTTAAAATTTTGGGGTTTTCATAAGATTTGTATTTTATTTTATTTTTATTTTACTTATTTGTTGTATATTTTTTTATAATTTATATGTATATTTTTTTATATGAGACTATTATTCCTCTGGAAATAATTAAAAAAATTTTATAAATATAAACAATTAAGACTGCAACATATACATTATTGACTGATCCGAATATTTATAAATAAAACAATTAAATGAAAACACCGTTTTGTAGCTCAAGTTCATATTCACCAAAATTATGTGTGCGAAATTTCTTTTCTTTTTTTCTTTTTATCACAAGCAATTAATGCTGACTGCATTAATGAATTTTTTTTATCGTTCTTCTAAAATCAGTTTTAAAGAAAGAGTCGAATGATTTTATATATGTAAAATTTGATTTGTAGAATATTTTGATAATAATGTCTGCCCGTCCTATTATTCCACCAAAGCAAATTATTTTTTTTTTTTTTGTCAAAAGCGCACACACTTCAATAATTCTAGGTTAAGGGCCACTATTATAACTTCTTCTCTCATTATTAAAAATTATTGTACAAGAACCTACAACATAAATTCATTGTAAAGGTGTTTTTTAGGGAATGATAAATAAAAACCGTTATACCGTATTAGACCGTTCTGGACTCTCAAACTTGTAAATTAAGACTTTCAGTAAGAACCAGTTAAATCAAGGTCTGCTAAATAGAGAATCGCTTTGTAATAATTGCTTAAAGTGAAAATAAAAATAATGAATATATACAAGGTAATATTGAAAATTCTGTATATCAAAAAAAAACAAAGAAAATAAGAATTTTTAAGCAATAGTTACGGAAGTCCAAACCATTGTTAGAATTTTTTGAGGGTATATGCAATGCATTAACTCCAGAAAGACAGTGAAAGAAAGAAAAAAAGAAAGCAGATAATAACTATATGTAATAAAAAATAAAGTTACATCTACACGTGATGCATTAGATGAAAATAGATGGTGACAAATTGATAAAATTAGTTTTATTTGTACAATTAAGCACGAACACTTTCAAATGTGTTTCCTTATTCATCTACCATTATTACTTTACAGGTTTTTACTTTAATACATTAACTTTCATAGCGCTTATTTCCTATGCAATTCGCCGATTTTAACCCCGCTTTGTTTGTTACAAGAACTGTATATACACTTGATTTGATCTATGATATCATGAACTTTAAACCTCCGGTATCGTCCACATATAGCAATGAGAAAATTCCATTATGTTCCAACTATTTTGGTCATCATTAATTGATAATTTACTTAATTTGACAGTTTAATAAATTCCTTTTTCTACTTCACTAAAAATCAAGTAAATGCCGCCGCCACATTAGAATAATATTAATATGACAGAAAATTTGATATTTTTTCACAATGCCAGTTTACTGTTATTCTTATAATCATACAGCTTCAAAAATTTTCCATCATATTTATTTATTTATTTATTTATTTTAAATCTTTCATTTCGCTTGACATTGCACTACTACTATCACCAAAGAATTTAGTGTTAACGCTGGTAAAAATTCGTTCACACAACAAGCGAATTTTGGTTGCAATATAAAAATTCACCTTTACCAACTTTTTTTTTTAAAATTATTGTTACAAACACTATCCATCGTCACCATTTATTGAATAAAAGCTTGTAAACAATCTATCTTCATATTTGAATAATGAATCATTGATTTCGGGAACATAAGCTATTTATAATTATAATTTTTTTTTTACATTCGAGAAAGATCGTTGGACCAATTCAAATTTAATTATTTAATTTAGCTAATTAGCAAAGCATAAATTTTGTTTGCAACAATCTATATTGAAATAACACTTGTAATTTAATTAAGTGTACAAATGGAGAATATTTTGGTAGAAGCATCTTTTGCAAGAGCAAATAAGTCATGGTTAAAAACTGCTAAAGATCCAGAGTCAAGATGTTATTGGTTAATTAACCGTTATGGAAAAGCACATTCATTGTTTTTCGCAGTATATTTTGGACCAAGTTTCATTAGTGTTGACTTGGTAAATTGTGCATTGAAAAACGATGTGATATTGTCGCAATATTTTCTTCAAGTACTTAAGAAATGTTGCGGGGGGTACGATGAAAGATTAATTGAGCTTAGGTCTGATTATAGTGACTTTGAAAAGTTGTGGGGCTCAGATTTACCACTAGATGTCTATGAAAAATTATTAGCAGAAGGAAATCGTAGATGGAATGAAAATTTTTGTTTAAATGGTAATGATCTTGAAAAGTTTTGTTCCTTGAATAGGAAGAATGCAGAGAATGTATTAAATGATATTAAAGTTTTGATTTTGGACAAAAAATTCATCCCAAATCCAAGGAAACCAAAAATTTCCTATAAAAATTTTATTGATTTCAAAAAAAAACAATCTCAACCACCACTATTACCGCCACCACCACCATCTCAACTTTTTGGAGGATCTGCTCAGATGACTGATGCATTTGAAAGTGAAGAGACATTGAGAATAGTG